TGTACAAATTTCTCAAAGTACCCCTATATGATTGCAATTTCGAAATTTATTTAAGCAATATTATGCATATATGAATAAAAAAAAAAACCAGCATATTTGCATGCTTCCTGTTAAATGTAAAAAAAATCTGTTATAACACGGAGCAAATGACCCTTTTTCATAACTGATTTTCAGAGGTCAAAAATTACTTCTCTGAAACAGACTTAATTAGATTAGTTATCCCTCTCATCAAACACAAAATTATTATACGCCCGTCGAAAGACGGGACGTATTATGTTTTCACGCGGGCGGGCGGCCGCACACAGGTTTCCGTTCGATAACTTGAATATTTTTTTACAGATTAATTGGTAACTTGACATGAAGGTTTATTACCATAAAAGCCAGGTTGAGTTTGATAACCAAAATTTTTCGCCCATTATTTACAGAGTTATGGCCCTTGGCACGTTTGCAAAATAGGTTTCCGATCGATAACTCGTGAAATTTTTTACAAAAGAATTGGAAACTTCACATGAAGGTTTATTACCATAAAAGCCAAGTCAAGTTCGATAACCAAAATTTTTCGCCCATTATTTACAGAGTTATAGCCCTTGGTTCATTTTCAAAAAGGTTTACCCTCAATCACTTGAGTAATCTTTCATTTATTAATTTGAAACTTCATATGAAGGTTTATTACAAAAATGCTTTTGGACGGGCGTATATTGCTCTGCCCTGCGGTACTCTTGTTGAAGATGTAACACAAATTACTGATTACGAAATGGCACTTGGTAAGGATGGTATGTTGAATTTCACGTGCTGCATATAATGTTACTTAAATTGCCTCATGTTGTTGCTTCCGCGTGAAACAGGTCCCGATCTCAATTCTTCTTCTTATAAGCATAATTTTGGCTTCATGTATATATATTTGCAATTAACCATAAGGAAATAAATTGTGCCTGGTACCGCAGAATGGAACCGTTTAAAAGCTGGGTCGGTAAACCATGGGATAGGATATTGACTTTAGAAAAAAATATAGATACACATTGATTCTTTTTATAAAAACCAAGAGAGATCAATCCTACACACTTGTTGTAACTGTGTCAGTTTTCAAAAACTGATTTTGAAATGTTGTATATATTGAAAGAATTTTCACTTTGTTGATTTTCAGACTAGGCAGTTCCAAGCCTACGCGAAGGTGTGTCCAACCGTCCTGTTCGGATTCGTGCCTGAGCCACACAAATACCATATGACCCTTGGGATCTGGGAAATCTGTTGTGGACTCGCCCTATTTGTAGGGGATCGTGAACTCAAACAAGGAGCTTCCGGTATCCTTCTAGCGATCATGTCTGTCATGATTGTCTCGAATGTCATCCTCAGAGACTACTCCGCCATGGTTTTCTTTGCTATGCACTTCTTTTTTCTCTCGTACTTGTTCGCTATGTACAGCCGAAAAACCAAGTCAGTGGTAACAGAGGAGGAGGAGAATTTTAAGAAAGAATAAGAGGTTTAGAGACGTTGTCATCAACGAAATACTCAGATATTTAGATTTTGAAAAAGACGACTTTGTAATCTTAATTTTAAGCAAAACCTGATATTTTGTAGCGAACCGCTTTAAAACTTTCCACGCAATAGCTGTTAATTAAATTGTCGTTCACATAATGACCGATATGCAAATTAATTCGATTACAGCTGATAGATGTAATAATCATGGTGTCCTACATGGTTTTATTTCTACTCCGTGTATGTTCCCGTGTTTCATTCAAGGTTAAAGCTTCAAGGGTTTCCAGAAATTAGTCTATCGAAAGGCAGCAATTTATTTATTTGTAATAAACGTATTTATTTATACTGCTGAAGTTGAAGTTAAGTAAGATGTTTTGCCGGGAAAATTGTATTGCCATGATTGTTTACCTTCAGTAATCGAATTTACTTATTACCTTGTTTTTTATAGGATCAATAACAGATAATAAGATAGACGTAAACAGGACAATCATTTAAACCAGAGCATGTTTGCATTCTACTGTAGTTCAGGTTGTATTCAATGCAGTTTATAAGCAAGTTGTATTCAGTACAGTATCCACGTCAAGTCTTATTCGGTAGAATATCAATGGCAGGTTGTGTTCAGTACAGTATCAATGACAGGTTGTGTTCAGCACAGTATCAAAGACAGGTTGTGTTCAGTACAGTATCAAAGACGGGTTGTGTTCAGTACAGTATCAAAGACGGGTTGTGTTCAGTACAGTATCAAAGACGGGTTGTGTTCAGTACAGTATCAAAGACGGGTTGTGTTCAGTACAGTATCAAAGACGGGCTGTGTTCAGCACAGTATCAAAGACGGGTTGTATTCAGTACAGTATCAAAGACAGGTTGTGTTCAGCACAGTATCAAAGACAGGTTGTGTTCAGTACAGTATCAAAGACAGGTTGTATTCAGTACAGTATCAAAGACGGGCTGTGTTCAGCACAGTATCAAAGACGGGTTATATTCAGTACAGTATCAATGACAGGTTGTGTTCAGTACAGTATCAAAGACAGGTTGTGTTCAGTACAGTATCAATGACGGGTTGTGTTCAGTACAGTATCAAAGACAGGTTGTGTTCAGTACAGTATCAATGACAGGTTGTGTTCAGTACAGTATCAATGGCAGGTTGTATTAAGTAAACATGTAGAAGATAAGTTGAAATTACTTGTGTAATTTTACTCTTTCACCAAGTTTTGTAATAAAATGTTTTTAAACTGAAATGATAATTGTAGTTTGTCATGTTAAAATGGTACCTACTTGAATTATTTGTAAAGAACCTCTTAGCGGCGAAAACACATTAATTTGCTGAACATATCTATCCTAGAAACTTATTTCTCTCATTGCTGAACCTATAAATAAGGTAATTTGTCTGTAAACCTTTGTATATACTGACTAATCTGTCACTCCTTTTGAAACCTCTATATACTGGACATATCTGTCACTCCTTTTGAAACCTCTATATACTGGACATATCTGTCACTCCTTTTGAAACCTCTATATACTGGACATATCTGTCACTCCTTTTGAAACCACTATATACTGGACACATCTGTCACTCCTTTTGAAATCTCTATATACTGGACATATCCGTCACTCCTTTTGAAACCTCTATATACTGGACATATCTGTCACTCCTTTTGAAACCTCTATATACTGGACATATCTGTCACTCCTTTTGAAACCTCTATATACTGGACATATCTGTCACTCCTTTTGAAACCACTATATACTGGACAAATCTGTCACTCCTTTTGAAACCTCTATATACTGGACATCCCTGTCGCTCCAATTGAAACTTCTCTATATATGCCTCCTAGTCTTGACCCTTGATATACCAGATACATACATCCTTTACTGTAGAACCTTTGTTTACCGGAAACAGGGGCTATTCATTTTGACACCTGTATATGTCGGACCTCTGTATACTGGATACAGCCTTCACTTGTGTGGAGACTTCATACATTTATACTGAAAACACACCAAACGAACAAAAACAAGCAGATTAATTTCACAATTTTATTATGGTATATAAATGACACTGTTTGTATATAGATGCTTCGTAATTAATATTATTAACTATTGATGAATCCTGTTTCTAATATAATTATCAAAAACTTTAAAATCTCAAAGAACCATTTCCATTTTTTTGTAAAAATAACGTTTTGATAAAGAATTTGCACGTATTCAAGTCTTAATGCTATCAGTATAAATATACATTTGAACGATGAAAAGAAAATCTGAAATATTTGAAAAATGAGGTAATACATGTGTACATGTAGTAATGAGGATATTATTTTATCTGATAAATGTGTTTGGTGGAAATGTACAAAATTGTATATAACGAATAGATAAAAATTATGTTCAATTAGAAATCAAAATAACCGGACTCTTATTTTTGGTACCCAATATTTCGATTACGCTTACCTTTAACCTTAAGGAGTCCTACTTCACATTTAACAGATGGTCAGTCTTACTTAAATACGGTTCTAAAAAGCCCAAGGGGGTCTGTATCCCCATCGAATCTGTCTTCTAGACAATACAGACAATTTCGATGACATCTATCTCCCAATCAAATCTATCTCTTCATGGAATCCAGATCAAAAATGTAAAAATATAATTTATTTTAGACACAAAATTTAGACCTACAATTTTGTACTTTCCACACGATCTTATAAAACATTACTAAAAAAATATATATATATTAATTATTACCACTTATTTAGAGCAAATTATATAATTCTGTTTCTTATTATGACTATTTATAAATTTTATGAAAAAAAAAATAAAAAGACTTGTAGAGGTTACACTGAACAATTGGATGTAAAATGAAGGTAGAAAATGTATAGAAACATATATGTATGATGTATAGGTAGATAAATTGTACAATCTATGTACTTCTTATTTTCTTACAACAAATGCACTACGCTAGATATAAAGAGACCAGTAAATCATTAAAAACATACTGTATAACAGTTGTAGATTTGTGAGAGAAATTCACATAAAATAAAAACATACACACACACCTACCACAACACACACACACACAGATTAACATTGATAAATCTATACAACAACACTATTTTTTTTAGTCTTCAACTGCAAAAATACAGTGTGGAAGACTTGTAAGGCAGATACTGCTAATTCCTGACTGATAATGAGGTACAAAGTACCTTGTTATTAAATAAAAATGTCCATATGACATCTAATTAATGTGCATGATTAAGTGTTAACTGGTACAACTTTCATGGAAACATTGAAAAGTGTGTAAATACTTCAACTTTGAATTCTAAATTTAACCAAATACTTTGAATAATAATATATATGATTTAAGTTATTACACCTGTACTTCAGTCATAAATATGATCTTGCATGATAATATGATTTTTTTAAATACATTTTTTCCCCTTTTTAATCCATGTTAAATCTAAATGTAAAATTAATATATACAGTTTTTGTTAATATAGTATTTCATGTTTCAGGAACATATCTCTGTTTAAGTTGGTAAATTAGCGGCGCTGTGGTGCTACATGTACGATTTTCCTCCTCTGTCCAGTGTGTGGTTTATTCTGGTGACAGTACACTTTCTTTTGTTTAGTATAGATCCTTCTCTCGCTCTCATAGGGAGGAATCACATAGTCTGCTTCAAAGTTCTCATCATAGTCATCTCTACAATAACACAAAAACAGGCTTAATCTACAAATTTACAACATGTGATATTTTTTGTCTATCGCTGAAAAATCAGTGTTTACAGTGATCTTGACATCTGTCCGGTTAATAACATCAATATATATTCACACTTTGATGTTTTCCTTTCGTTAAATTTTCATCAAATTTGCAAAAAGTCCAGACAACACCGATCTTTGTCATTTATATAAGAAGTAAGAAAATTAACATACCTGCTAGAAAATAGCTGGGTCAGCACACAACTTGCTTGGAAATCTAAAAATTTAAATATTACATCTTGAACAAAAGATATTTTTCATTTATTTCATATTTCTGTTCGTTATTATTTGATAAGTGTTGGCTTTTTATCAATTTTTCCAAAACATAAATGTTCAATGTAATCGCTTTGTTCCATAAAAAGTGCCAATATTGTTAAACTACTGTTTACATCAAAGGTCTAAATATTGTTTACATACAAACAATAAAGGATAGTTGACAACTTACTGTCAATATACACAGGCATGGGGTCGAGTGTGGGTAATGGCAGAATCACCAATTCCTTGGAAATCTCTCCATCACTTTCTTCTTCCCACAGTGGCTGCTCACCCAACTCGTCAGCAACATCTACGTCACTTCCTTCCTTATCCAGTTCCTTGATCACAATATCCATGGTAACCTCGCCATCCTTTTCTTCCTTATCCAGTTCCTGCATCACAATATCCATGGTAACCTCGCCATCATTTTCTTCCTTATCCAGTTCCTGCATCACAATATCCATGGTAACCTCGCCACCATTTTCTTCCTCTTGATTCAGTGGAAAATCTAGCACCTCAGAAATGCTGCTTACACTTGTCTCTTTCCTTTTCTTTGGTCTTCGTTCTATGAAAAAAATTAACATAATATCTATCCTTGTACAATGTTCTGTGAATACAGCTAAAAACTTAAAAGGATGGTTGTCAGATGATAACATACAAGCGTCTGACTGGTTTTTTTTTAAAAATAACAATTTCATAATAAAAATCTTTAACATGATATGCAAGTTGAATCTTTTCCCATTTTTTCTTTTTCTCTTCTACATTTTTTCTATGTTTTTGCTTTTTATTATATGAAATTTAGAAATTCCTCTTAGATATCTTCAAATCCAAGATGGCCACCAGTCAGCCATTATGTACTTCCGATCAGTCCTAAAATTCAAAGGGCAAAACTAGGGACCAAGGGAAACCTATGTTTCAATCGGAGAAAGATCAATCCAAAATCTAAAGAAATGGCTGCCTGTCAGCCATTTGATTTTTCTGATCACTCACAAATTTACAGGGCACAGGGAACCTACATATTAAATCTGGAAAAATCTCTCCAGTACTTCTCCAGAAACAACAAAAATAAATTAGCACTGTCAAAATCCAAGATGGTCACTTGTCAGTCATTAGACAATACATAACAACAGACCATGAGGAACATACATATGAAATTTTTAAGAGTTATCCATCCTATACATTTGAAGTAGCGATAACAAGAATTGTATAAGAAAGACCCAATCTTTAATGACAATAAAATAAAAATGTAATTTCAGCGGCTCATCGGGCAGTTTTATAGATGGTGGCGGTTTAAAAGGAAGGAATGCCTTTAAATGGAAGTGTGGGAATGATATGCTGTGCAAATCTCCCTTCACCAATTTATGATTGAAAGAAAAGCAACATGATAAATATAAAAATTTTACTTACTTTCTGCCCTTTCATGATCACAGGAATCCACGTAAGCCTGAATGTCCTCCCTGGGAAGACGAAAGACTTTCTTCTTCCTCCTCCTTTCTTCCTGGACTGTCTGAGCTTGAATTTTCTCCTGACAATCATGTTGGGAGACAATAGTCACATCACTCTTCTCACTAGATCTTTTCTGTTTTCTGTCACGTTGAGCATCCTTTGTTTTTTCCTGGAGGACGATTTTACCCTCAGATTTTGTTGTTTTGACATCAGGTCTGACATCATCGTTGGCCAGTTTGACATCAGATTTGACCACTTTAACAGTCTTAACTTTAGCCTTGGCGGTTTGGATATCTGCTTTAACAGTTTTGACATTGCTTTTGAGTGCATTCACATCACTTTTGAGAGTATTGACATCGGATTTGAGAACTTCAACATCAGTTTTGAGTGATTTGACATTGTTGTCGATCATTTTGACATCGGCCTTGACTGCTTTGACATTGTTGTCGACCATCTTGACATTGGCCTGGACTGCTTTGATATTACTGTTAACCATCTTTACATCCGCTTTGACTGTTTTGAATATTTTGACATCAGTTTGTTGTTTTTTCTTTGGCTTGATAGAGACTTCCTCCTCCTCGTGTATCTTTCGATGAGAGTCCACAAATTCTTCCAGACGTGCAGAGAAGATTTCCAAATTCTTTTCAAATCTCAATCTCTCAGCCTGGTATGTTTCCATTACATTGGTGTAGGAATCATCTCCATCCGTGTCACTTTCACTGCTGCCTCTAGAAATTCTCTTGGGTTTCTCCAATTTAATCTTAGTATCATGTGTGGACTTTTTCATCGCATTCTTGGGCGAAGCTTTGGACATTTTTTCAGCAGTTCCAGGTATACGCTCAGACATTTTCTCATCAGACTTTGGTCGATGTTTGGACTTTTCAACATTTGTCTTTGATGTCTGATCTGGTTTAGTAGCATTGGATAAATTAACCACTGAAGTCTCTGTGTAAGTTTCCTTTAGTTCTACAAGAAATGATATATAATACATTGTTATATATAGAAATATCAAAATAAACTGATCATTGAAGATTGTGACAGCTCAATGTCTTTCTATTACAATGTGTATTTGAGATATTTCTATTTTCATTCAGTGTCATAACAACTACAGTATTAAATTGTAATAGAAGGGAAAGTTATAGTATTACCTTTGGCCTTCGCATAATACCCTGCCAATTGGAGTACAGATGCCTGTAATACAATTAAAACAGTAAAACTAACCATTTCAATGACCATTTCATATTATAATGATGTTGAAGTTTTTGTCGTCTCAGTTTAATAAGATGTTGAATGTGACAATGATAGTGTGTGCATGCATTACTGTTAAAGTGACTTACTCACAACAATATGTGAACATTTTTTAGACACGAATATATAATTGATACATCTAATAAGACTTGATTAGATGTAAACAAAATATACTTGCCTCATAGATTTCTCTTCGAAGATTCTGGAGAGCTGGAAATGGTCGATAATTCTATGTTTAAATGGTGTATGACATTGGTAATATAGTACAATTCATAATGACATTACTCAAGCCACACTCAACGAATGATTTTTCACATTTGGCTTTAAATATAAGTTTATGTATACTTTGACAATTTTCTCCTGATAAGGGAGATAATCCAGGAATAGTCCAGTCAATACTATACAGTGGAGATCACCCAGCACATAATGTTCCGTCAATCTGAGAAATGACTTACCCTGTTGTCTCTTTCGGATATTGTCTTCAATTCTTTCAAAACTCAAATCCACCATTTCGGTTGCAACGAAGGGCTGGAATAAAATTAATGCAGAATTATTGACAAGTTCTTAACATACAGCGTTATAGAAGTGGTCAGTGTAGAACAATAAAAAACATTCATTATTTGGTAAGGAAAATTTTGTCTTGTCAAGTTCGCATTTAAAAAAAATTTTTGAAGTAAAATGTAATTTCTTCAAGACAAATTAGTGATCGTTGATTATTGGTTAATTATAAAATGTAATCTCTATCTATCGAATGTAGACCAAGTTGTTTATACCTTTGTATTAAAGTCTCGCTTAAAATCTTCTAGTTCTGCAAAATGAATAAATAAACACAAAATGAAAAAAATTAAATAACCTGATGTTAACATTACAGGCTTAGATTATCTAACATGTCCAAAAAGTTAACTCAAATATTTTAAATGCAGTAATGATTATATAGTGCACTCAGGTATTATGATGGCATACTTTATTATCTGTTTTCACAACATTTCTAAAAATTGGAGACCAAAATGTACAGATATTATACACAAAACTTATTTAATTATTATAACCTTACCGTACATCTTTCGAAGAGATTGTTTGTTCAAATATTTCAGTTCATATTCTTCTTCCTTAGTGGGTCCACTCGACTGAAATTTAATTCAACTTAATTTAAAATCTTAAATCAAAAGATTAGATAGTGAATAAGAACAATAACATGACACTAGTTACTTTGACTTTCAGTTAATATCAGAGGTGGGGGTGGTCTGTAGGTTTAGGGAAAAGGTGCATTCACAATTTTATATTAATTTATATTAAGGTACCACTATCCGTGTGAATTGTTACATAGATTTTAACATTAAGATACTTGATAGTCATGACCACTGAACTCCCTTCAGTTTCAGCACAATACAATTTGTTTCTTCAGGATCTATACTTTCTCACCATTTATATTTATTGATTTATTTATTACGATGGAGTGGGGTGGGGTGGGGTGGGGTGGGGTGGGGTGGGGTGTGATGGGGTGGGTGAGGATCCAAGGAGTGGGGGAGGGCTGTAAATTGTGTACTTACTGGACAAATATTCCGTGCTCTCCTTCTGAGATCTGAAAAGAATGGAAACACAACCATAACAGGAAGCCAAATTATTCTATATTTTTGGAACTTTTCATCTCATAGTACTGATGTTATTTCTTACTTATTTACTACCACTGTTAATGATCCTTGAGTTCAGTTGACTCTCATACATACATGTGACATGTATCATATCTACATGTACCATATAAATTATTGTCATAACACTTTATTGTTTCAGTTCAGAAAATAGTTATTCCTAACACATACCTCTGAACAAATAATATTTGTGTTGTTAAATACATTTTCCCCTTGAAATTTCAATATACATTTTAGTTGAATGATATGTCTACAAGTTGTTCAGAATACCTGATAAGTTTTAACTTACTTCGTCTGGACTGTTTTACATCTTCCTCTGCCGCCATCAATATTGCTATTTCATTATCAATATGTACATTTGGCTGGAACAAAATAAACAGTCTGTTAAAACAAAGGCAATGGGGAGGACACCAACACCCTTCAACTTATAAAATAATAAAAAAAGGGGAAAATAAAAAGGTTGAATACTAACAACAACAGGTGATATAAGTATATACATGTATACTCAAACAAATCAAGGAACTTAATGCATAGCTGTTTGTTTTTCCCCATTTATAATTCATCTAGATTTGTTTTGCTAGCAAACAATAGGCAAAAATAAATTTTCTAGTAGATTTGTCTTTTCCATTCGATTCTATGAAAATGTGAGTTTGCACACATAATAATTCATGTTTGTTAATTATCTTACCTTGAGAGTATCTATCTCTCTTCTGTAGTCATCATACACTACATAAATAAAACAAATTATTGATATAAAATACAAGCATGAAAAGTTCCAAGAAATATTGCAACAAATCTAATGATAAAATCGTTCAAGCATTGACAATTAAATTTCAATTGCTTTTATTAATACAGATGTATATAATAACTTCTGTTAATATTTTTGTTGTTTAATTTATTTTATTTAACACAATAGTTGATTATAAAGACCCATGTTCTAACTGTGCCACTTTTACTCGACCTAGCTGAACTTCATGCAGATATATTTTATCATATTATATATGAGTAAACGATCCAAAAAGAACTTAATGTACAACTTAAACCATAACACGATAGCCTAGTTATATCAATAATATGACATCCGACACTGTCAAGTATAACTTTGTATCCGGTTGATATAACTTACAACAATCCCCGAGTTTTCCGGAAATTTTCTTTAATTCTTCCTTCACTTCCGGGGTAGGGACGTATGACTGAAATTAATATACAGCACCGTAAAAATTATTTGTGGCTCGTCGAATATAAAATATCTTTATACTGAATATCATATGATTATTATTACAATGTAAATCTTCATTTTAAATAAAAGTTTATAAAAATTATTTACCCGAGCGTAATCGTGATCATATTCACTCCTCACCACCTTGACGGTATCTGGAATCGGAAAGAGAATGGAGAGTAATGGAGTTATACACACAAGTACACCGGTAAGATGCACAATTGTTTCGTTATCAACGCATTTAACACACAAGTGTAACACATAGAGACAACTGTGAACAATTCACAGTGTGATATTTGTAACTTAAATTTAAAATATGATGTAGAACGAAAGCGAAGTTATTTTAAAGATAATATTCCCTTTACGACTTCGAACTTCGATAACGGACTAAATTCCGAGTCTGTCGTGAATTCGTTTCATTAACGATCGTTTATCGATATATAGTCTATATGTGTAGATACATTAACAAAAGCTACTTACCATCCGCAAAGGACATGATACTTGGAACCCCTATCATATACTCTGATCTATCCATAATGATTCGCGAGAGAATGCATGTTTTCTGAATCTTACAACTTCGTAACTAAGCGCCGCGAAAACTCACGTGATATAGAACAATATAGTCACGTGATTTATAAAGTCACGTGACGGACGAGTTCGATTCCGACAACAGTCACTTCAACTTGCTATTTTTAGACTAAGGTTGTTCGAATTTTCATAATTTAATACATATTTAAGCAAAGTCAAAGAAATAATTGATTTAAACATTTAATTCTGAAAAGCAATTACCAAATATAAGTTGTAAAATCTTCTCGGTAAACGAATGGAGAATGACATCGATTTCAGTGGTAGCAGTACACAGTTTCTCGGTGTGCCCATGGGTGATTTTTTTTTTTTTTGCTTATTAGATTACCCCGTTATAAAGGTTTTAATTAACAATGAAAAAAAATACTTGCTAAAATTGGACCTGTCATGTTTAAGTGGACAATGTGGGGTTTCATTTTTATCAGGATAATATTTTACCATTGTGTTGGAGATTACTATTTGGGCAGTCTCGAATCTGTTTCTACGCACCAAAAACAAGCTTTACAGAAAGTTTTCAAAGTGTTTACATGTGGTCATGTTATGAAGAATTTCCGAGTTGGAATTTTCTGAAATGTGAGTACTTTGTTACCATGACAGTGTTGTTGATTGTAGGATAGGTGTTTAGAATTAAATTTCTATTAGAAAGTTGTAGTGTTAGGTTGGAATTAGTAGTATTTTTGCATTTTTTAGTATTTTTTCAGTAGGTAACCATGACAATCAAATGTAGGGAGGTCAGCTAAAAAATGAACCCCCTAGAAAACATTTTAAAACATGTTTTTTAGACAGAACTCAGAGAAAGAGAAATTTTGGTGCAAAAATTTTGGAAATCGGTTGTGGGGTTCAAAAGTTACATCAATTTTTGTACCTCGAAAAGCGGCCATTTTTCTGTTTTCGGCAAAAAGTCCCTAAAAGAGGCATGTTTGAGGCCTTATATCTGAAAATGTGGTTATGATATGTATTGTCAGAAATCAGAGGAATTTTTTTTTATCTCAAACATGACAAATAATTTCAGGAAAAATGCAAATTAACTGTTTCCTGCTACCAGTAACGTGATGGGCGAGTTCGATTTAAGCAACGTTCGTGTGTATGTTCTATCTTAGGTACGTTATTCCAGTATTCCTCAGTTTTACACATTTATACAAAATCCCCTATGCAAAATTTTGATTTTAATCTTTTATCCGGAGTATTATCTGACTTTCAATTACATTATTCCATTGGCAAAAATAACGCATCAATTTCATTAAACATATTTGAAAGTCACATATAACGTAATCAGTGTGCCTCAAATGCGATTCGCACACAACAAACTTGCACTTGACACTTAGAAAGGTAAATTATTTTGTTTTCTATGTTTCAATATAAAATCTTGAGTGATTAATTATTTGTGCTTGAGGTTTCATTTTCTATCGTTTATATTTTTCAGCTATGGAATGTTTGCCATTGAAAAGTAGAAAGTGTAGAATATTGAAGGCGTAAGAATTTGTTGATAAGATTGACGTGTTACATAAATTTACTAGAATTGTTTACGGCTATAATTATGGTGTGGAAGTACAGGTGCCGCTCTCATTTTATCACATGTTTACAGTGTAGTATGCTTCTTGTCCGCACGGACGAGGTATCTCAGGCATTGTACGGATACCAAAGGAAAATATATCAAAAACATTGGAAACATGTCGCGAAATAGTTGTTATTTGCGTGGATTATCTCCCCTATTCTAAATCACGTGATTTCAGCGAGAAAAATGATGGAGTCTTCGAAGCGGGAGGACGTGGATGAGGGCATTACTTAACGTAAGCATGAAAAAGTCACCAAAGAAGGTCAACAGGCCAGTACAAACAAATGAGTTTCATTACATTGCAACCAGTGATATTATTATATAACAAGTATTTGTGTTAAATTCATATTCGATTGATAATGCAGCTTTTTACTCCGCCTGGTTTAGTCCATGTGAATTTCGTACCCCAGAAAATCCAGCCAGATATAAAATACAATACTTTGCACAGACATGGGCAAAAATTACATAAGATAAATGATTTCTGGATCTTGTTAAAGGGTACAAAATTGAATTTGAAACGCTACCTATTCAGGAACATATAATTAAAACTCCAAACTTTTGTGCCACTGAATTAGCTGCATTGGAATCTGAGATAAACAAATTATTAGATAAAAATGTGATTGAACCAGTACCTCGTTCTAGCCAGCAGGGTTACATCTCCCCTATATTTCTGAGACCAAAGAAAGATGGTTCTTATTCCCTTATCCTCAACCTTAGTGATTTGAATTATCATGTAGAGTATCATCATTTTATGATGGAAACTTGACATTCAGCAATCAATATGATGAAACCTAATTGTTGGTATGGATCGGTTGATCTTAAAGATGCCTATTACTCGGTGAATGTAGTGGACTCTGACACAGTGTACCTTCAGTTTATGTATAAGTGTTTTATATCAGTTTACTGCCTTACCAAATGGATTATCATCTGTCCCGCATGTATTTACCAAACTTATGAAACCTGTGTACTCAACTCTTCGTAAACTAGGGCACTCTAACGTAGCATATGTAGATGACAGTCAATTACAGTCTGACACACACAGCATGTGTACAGAATATCTTGACCACTGTGACATTGTTTGACTCTCTACACTTCACTGTTCATCCGGACAAGTCCATACTTATTCCAACTCAACACATAGAATTCTTGGGTTTTTGGTTGATTCTGTAGATATGACCGTCTCACTTACAGCTGAGAAAGCGATTGACATTTATCAGCTTTGTGTAAGAACTATTGATAAAACCCGTCTCCCAATTCAAGAATGGCACAACTGGTAGGAAAACTCAATGCATGTGCTCCAGGTGTAGATTATGCCCCTTTGTATACTCACAGACTAGAGACCCTAAAGGACAGGGTACTAAAACAAAACAACGGTAATTATGACTCATACATGGAGTTTTCACAGTTTGCCCGTGCTGACTTACAATGGTGGGCAGATAATGTCAAAACTGTGTTTAAACCTGTCACACGTAAGGCCTGTGCTTTTAGTATCACAACAGATAGCTCTAGTTATGGCTGGGGGGGGGGGGGGGGCAGTTTTGGAAAATGAAAGGACGAGAGAGAAAGTGGAAACTGGTGGTCATTGGTCATCTGATGATCAGGCTGACCACATTAATGTTCTTGAACTTCATGCTGCGTTTTTAACTATTCAGTGCTTCACCAATCATATCTGTGGACAACATGTTACTTAAAACCTTGACAACATGGTGGCCATTGCTTACACAGGGCTTTCCATAATTTTGTTGGTAGTAGGCTGTGTAGCGAAAGTAGGAGGCTGGCAAAGCCAGCCGCCCCGAGCCGCAACGCGGCAAAGTGGGAGTGGCCTACCATGTACGTGTAGTCGTGTACGGAACATAACTACGGAACTGGATTGGTGTAGACGGCCAAATGATCAAAGTAGCCGGTCAAATTGGCCAGCGACCAGCTCTTATGTTTTATGCTTACATTAAACATATGGGAGGTAAATGTACTCAACTTAATGACTTGGCTGCTTCCATGTGGAAATGGTGCATAGAGAGGAATATTTGGCTCTCTGCTACTCATATTCAAGGCCTACACAGGCAGATAGACTCTCTAGAAAACTAAATCCTGATATGGAGTGGATGTTACAGAGTGAAATTTTCAATAAAATTATGGAACTCTATAGAGAATATCCACCTACAGTTGACTTATTTGCTTCCCGCATTAATCATCAACTACCTAACTATGTGTCCTTTCTCCCTGATCCCTATGCATGTGCTGTGGATGCTTTTGCATTTGACTGGTATATTTCATCTGGGGTAATGCATGATTTCCCTCCTTTTAGTGTGCTGGACAGAGTGATCCAAAAGATAAAGCTCGACCAGGCCACGGTAATCCTCATAGCTCCACTGTGGATGACGCAGCCGTGGTTTTCAAATCTTCTGGCCCTCATGGCAACTCCAGCATACATACTTTCACCAATTCAGCAGACAGTTTAGCATCCAGTCTTCAAAGGACGGAGACATCCCATCGGAAATCTTAGTCTGGCTGCCTTTCTGCTCTCAGGGAATGACTCTGTGACCAGGGTTTATCACGCTCATCATTGATTCCTGGAGAACTTCGACCCAAAAACAATATCGGGTGTATTTCGAAAAATGGATGTGTTTTTGTGTTAGAGACCAAACTAATCCGTTTGCTACATCTGTTTCCAAGTTATTAGATTTTTTGTATGAGATGTTCAGAGAGGGAAAAAGATATAGTGCTATCAACTCTGCTAAGTCAGCCATAATCGGGTTTGCATCACTAGTAAATTCAGACTTAAAGCACATAAATGTCAAGTTCATGAAAGGAATATTTACCAGGAAACCTACACTACCTTGTTATACAGACACCTGGGATGTAAATATTGTACTCGACTAGATGAAAACACTCTTGCCTTTACAAGACCTTACATTATTACAGCTATCTTGTTGCTAAGTAACTCTGTTAGCTCTCGCGACAGGCCAACGTGGACAGACTTTGCATGTGTTGAAGTGTTCAGATTTACACATTTCTAGTGACGACCTAGTTATTTCCTTTTCCAAAGGGCCAAGTGAGCTTATGAAATAGCCTGTTGTCCGTCTGTCTGTCCGCCGTCCATCCGTCCTGTGTCCATCTACTTTTCATATAAACAACTTCTTCCGAAATACCGAAAGGCGTAGAGTTATTATATTTAGCTGGCAGGTTCCTTTGATAAAGCCAAATAAACTTTGCAAAAAGAAATGACCTTGACCCATTTACAAGGTCACAGAGGTCAAATGTGTTAAAACCTTTAAACGACTTCTTCCAAAATACCAGAAGGCCTAGAATGATTATATTTGGCTTGAATGTTCCTTTTATAAAGCCCAACAAAGTTTGCAAAAAAGAAATGACCTTGCCCCATAGTCAAGGTCACAGGGGTCAAATGTGTTAAACCTTTAAATTACATTTTCTGATGATTCAAAACATCTAGGATAGTGATATTATTCCTAAATAGGTTCTCAATGATGCCCGGTAATATTTGAGAACAGAAATGACCTTGACCCATATTCAAGGTCACAACAGTCAAATGTGTTAAACCTTTGAACAACTTCTGATTAACCTAAAGGCTTAGGGTCATAATATTTGTCCAAAAGGTTCCCTTAATGGTGCCCACATAGTGTGTGACAAAAATAGCCTGACCCATAATGATATTTAAGGTCATTGGGGTTAGATTTGGTAAAATAGTTAATCAACTTCTTCTGATTAACCAAAAACCCATCATATTTGGCCATTAAAGGCTTATATACAAATGACTTATTTTGGACTACTAAGGGACAGAACCCATATGGAGTAATTTGACATATTTCTTTAAGCATCTACTGTGGAACGTATGCACAGAAATTGTACAGTTGGTCATAAAGATCCAGCTGAGCGATACAGGCCCTCTGGGCCTCTTGTTATAATATATAAAACAGAAAAAAAGTTTCTTGTGTAAAAATTCTTTCATCAATAAATTCAGCGTCTATAAATGTACATCTACTTCTGTAATCATCAGGTCAGTATAAGATTGAAAATCACGATTAATTAAGTGTAAAATATTACAATATTGTAATAAAGATAAGTAAAAATCACATAACAGTGGTATATTATAGTTATGAAGATATAATTTTATCTGATAAATGTTTCTTGTGGAGATATGCAAAATTGTAACCTCTGTATACTGGATACATCCTTCAGTTGTTTGGAGCCTTCATACATTTATACTGAGCACACACATCAAATGAACACATAGAAGCAGATTAATTCCACAATTTTATTATGGTATAAAAATGACACAGTTTGCATAAATGTTTGGTAATTGATGTTATTAACTATTGATGAACCATGTTTCTAATATAGTTATTAAAAACTTTAAAATCTTAAAGAACCATCTGAATTTTTTTAATGTTTTCAAGTCTTAATGCTATCAGCATAATTTACATTTGAACGATGAAAAGAAAATCTGAAATATTTGAAAAATGAGGTAATACATGTACATGTAGTAATGAGGATATTATTTTATCTGATAAATGTGTTTGGTGGAAATGTACAAAATTGTATATAACGAATAGATAAAAATTATATGTTCAATTAGAAATCAAAATAACCGGACTCTTATTTTTGTTATTCAATAATTCGATTACGCTTACCTTTAACCTTAAAGAGTCCTACTTCACATTTAACAGATGGTCAGTCTTACTTAAATACTGTTCTAAAAAGCCCAAGGGGGTCTGTATCCCCATCGAATCTGTCTTCTAGACAATACAGACAATTTCAATGACATCTGTCTCCCAATCAAATCTATCTCTTCATGGAATCCAGATCAAAAATATAAAAATATATCTTATTTTAGACACAAAATTTAAACCTACAATTTTGTACATTCCACACAATGTTATTACTAAAAAAACAATATATATATATATATTAATTATTACCACTTATTTAGAGCAAATTATATAATTCTGTTTCTTATTATGACTATTTATAAATTTTATGAAAAAAAAAAAAAAGAATTGTAGAGGTTATACGGAACAATTGAATGTAAAATGAAAGTAGAAAATGTATAGAAACATATATGTATGATGTATAGGTAGATAAATTGTACAATCTATGTACTACTTATTTTCTTATAACAAATGCACTACTCTAGATATAAACAGACCAGTAAATCATTAAAAACATACTGTATAACAATTGTAGATTTGTGAGAGAAATTCACAAAAAAAAAAAAAAAAAAACACACACACGCCTACCACCACACACACATATTAACATTGATAAATCTATACAACAACACTATTTTTTTAGTCTTCAAGTTGGAAATACAGTGTGGAAGACTTGTAAGGCAGATACGATTACTGACTGATAATGAGGTACAAAGTACCTTGTTATTAAATAAAAATGTCCATATGACATCTAATTAATGTGCATGATTATGTGTTATCTGGTACAACTTTCATGGAAACATTGAAAAGTGTGTAAATACATTCAATTTTAAATTTTAAATTTAACAAAATGTTTTGAATTAAGAAATATATAGTTAAAGATATTGCACCAGTACTTCAGTCCTAAATATGATCTTGCATGGTAATATGATTTTTTCAAATACATTTTTTTCCCTTTTTAATCCAAGTTAGCGGCACTGTGGTGCTACATGTACAATTTTCCTCCTCTGTCCAGTGTGTGGTTTATTCTGGTGACAGTTAACTCTCTTTTGTTTAGTGTAGATCCTTCTCTCGCTCTCATAGGGAGGAATCACATAGTCTGCTTCAAAGTTCTCATCATAGTCATCTCTACAATTTACAATGTGAAATTTGAATTAATAAATCAATTTATAAGTTTTTGCACAAGATGACTAAATCATTTTTCATTTTTAAGAAGAATAGTTGTAAAATCTGATTGCTTCTAATTTCTGTCTACAGTGAACAATTACTATGTCCATTAATAACATAAACAAGAGTTCCTCGGAACTCTATGTGTTGCCTGCATAAAGTGTCACGGTCACCCAGAAATCAAACTGGATGTGCAACGTTCAACCATAAAGTTGTAATACCAAATTCTATTTTTATAACTCGAAGCATAAAGGGAAAACTGCGCAAAGCAATATTCCTGAGAAATATTCCAAGTTTAAAGGGACATATCACTGCCAAGAAGGATAACAGACTGCCAAGAAGCGAACTCAGTGTGTAACTTTTGACCAATAACACATATACAAAATTGCATTTTGATAACTCAAAGCATGACCAAGAAAATTCCAGAAAACAATATTCCGAAAGAATTGAACAAAAAACCATATTCTCGAAGAATATTCGAAAATGGCATAACTCTGCAAAGAAGGGTCACAGACAGCCAAGAATCAAACTTAATCTGCACCCATCCAACTAGAAGCCATACCAAATTTCATTGCTATAACTCAAAGCATAACCTAAGAAAGTCCAGAAAACAATATTCCCAGAGAATTTTCTAAGTTCAAAGGGGCATAACTCTGCCAAGAAGGGTTACAGGCAGCCAGGAATCAAACTTAATCTGTACCCTTCCAACAAGAAGCCATATACTAAATTTCATTTTGATAACTCAAAGCATAACCGAAAAAAGTTTCGTACGGACGCCGCCGACGGACAAAGTGATCCCTAAGTGTCCGCCAGCTCTGCAAGGCAACACATTAATACTTCTATCTGCTTTCCCCATGCCAAATTTCACCACGGAAAGATAAACTAGTCATTGACAAAATAAGATAACATACCTGCTGGAAAACAGTTGAGTTAGGACACAACTTGCTTGGAAATCTGGAAAGAAAATGTTTATTGGTGAACAAATAAGTAGATAATTTTATACATTTTGCTGATAATGTTTTATGATGATAGAGATATAGAGATTTTCAAAACAATTATTTAGTTTGAAGAAATGCACAAAATTTGTCCATTCACAGCCTGAGCATACATTCATATTCTCAAAATCATTGCAGAAACACAAGATGTTCCTTAACTACCCTATCAAGCTCAATAATTACATGTATGTATTACCGTCTAAATTCAAAGGGCCATAACTCTGTAAACAACGTCAATGTGACACTAAAACTATAGAGACACACACCAAATGGCAGGTCTTATATTTTGTCACTGGAATAAAATTAACATGAAATTGGACCTGCAGAAGAGGAATCCTATGACCTTCCACTCCCCACAAATACCAAACTAAACAATACTAATATCTTACTGTCAATATACACAGGCATGGGGTCGAGTGTGGGTAATGGCAGAATCACTAATTCCTTGGAAATCTCTCCATCACTTTCTTCTTCCCACAGTGGGTGCTCACTCAACTCATCAGCAACATCTATGTCACTTCCTTCCTTATCCAGTTCCTTCATCACAATATCTAAGGTAACCTCGCCATCACTTTCTTCCTCTCGATTCAATGGAAAGTCTAGCACCTCAGAAATGCTGCTTACACTTGTCTCTTTCCTTTTCTTTGTTCTTCGTTCTAAGATGGAAAAAATAATTTACTAATTGTCTTAATTACCAATAAAACCTAAAAGGACGGTTGAACAAGAATTAGTCTCATTTCTCCTGAAAAGTATGTTTGATTTTTAAAAATCTCGTTTCTGATTGGCTCATCGGGCAGTTTTATAAATGTTGGCAGTCCAATAAAAGGGAAGGGATTTGAAATATAGAAAGTGCAGAGAAGACATGCTCAAAAAAAACTTTGTTGATCAATCTATGATTGAAAGAAAAGCAACAAAATAAATATAAAAATTTTACTTACTTTCTGCCCTTTCATGATCACAGGAATCCACATAAGCCTGAACGTCCTCCCTGGGAAGACGAAAGACTTTCTTCTTCCTCCTCCTTTCTTCCTGGACTGTCTGAGCTTGAATTTTCTCCTGACAATCATGTTGGGAGACAATAGTCACATCACTCTTCTCACTAGGGTTCCTGTGTTTTCGGTTTCGGTTGGCGTCCTTTGTTTTTTCTTGAAGGACAATTTTACCATCAGATTTTGTTGTTTTGACATCAGGTCTGACATCATCGTTGACGAGTTTGACATCAGATTTGACCACTTTGACAGTTTTGACTTTAGCCTTGGCGGTTTGGATATCTGCTTTAACGGTTTTGACATTGCTTTTGAGTGCATTCACATCGAATCTGAGTGTTTTGACATCGGTTTCGAGTGATTTGAAATTGTTGTCGACCATCTTGACATTGGCCTGGACTGTTTTGACATTGTTGTCGACCATCTTGACATTGGCCTGGACTGTTTTGACATTGTTGTCGACCATCTTGACATTGGCCTGGACTGTTTTGAAGATTTTGACATCAGTTTGTCGTTTTTTCTTTGGTTTGATAGAGACTTCCTCCTCCTCGTGTTTGTTACGATGAGAGTCCATAAATTCTTCAAGTCGTGCAGCGAAGATTTCCAAATTCTTCTCAAATCTCAATCTCTCGGCCCGGTATATTTCCTTTACTTTGGCGTAGGAATCATCTCCATCCGTGTCACTTTCACTACAGCTTCTTAATGTTCTCTTAGGTTTCTCCACTTTATTTTTTGTTACACGAGTGGACTTCTTGGATGAATGTTTGGACATTTTCAAAACAGTTGCAGGTTTACATTCAGACTTTTTCTCATCAGACTTCGGTTGATGTTTAGACTTTTCAGCATCTGTTGTCTCCCAGGAAGTTTTCTTTAGCTCTACAAGAAATTATATCAAATATATTGTATATATAAAAACCAATAGAAACTGGTCTTCAGAGATCATGACAGTCCTGTCTTTTTAATACAATATGTATTTAAGATTGTTTCACTTTCATTTAGCATCAACATACCTTACAGTTTTGAATTGTAATGCAAGAAAACAAATTTTATTTTATTCCCAAATATCTATAAAATTGTGATGAAATTTTAATAAAACTTAATCTTTAAGTGCAGATTTATCAACTATATTGTTATTACTACAAAGAAGAGTTAAAGTAGAGACCTCTCATATATCCCTAGTTAAAGTATTACCTTTTGCCTTCATGTAATACCCTGCCACGTGGAGTACGGAAGCCTGTTATACAATGAAAACAACATCACTAATCAGCACACAGACCCAAAAGTCATAATTAAATTATGTTAGGTATTGCAAGAGTATTTATTCTTAAAGTTCAACAAAATATCAAATGTGGTCATACATGTAATACTACATTGTATGTGGACATTCTATCTGCCAAATTACTACAAATTATGATATGGGCAATTATGTTCTCGTGTTTACTTAATTACTAAACAGTTTAAACAGCACAGGTTTCTCTATCAAACAATTTTCCCCTATTTGTAGCACCGTTTTCCTTTCTACGTTATTCTTGTATATACTTGCCTCATAGATTTCTCTTCGGAGGTTCTGGAGAGCTGGAAATGATTGATAATTTTAATTTTAAATGGTGTATAATATACTCAACAGAAATTATCAACTAAACACAGAACAAAGTCCACTCATTTGTAACAAAATGAAGGGAAAAAGTACGATGTGTGAAGATAGCACTAAACAAGATGATAGATGATGAGATGTGGGACAAGGGAGGTAAGCTATATTACAGTTCAGCCAGGGGAGCTAACCTGATTCCTCATTGGTGCCAAGTCAATTGCGAGAAAAAATAAGAAGAAATACTAACCCTGTTGTCTCTTTCGGATATTATCTTCAATTCTTTCAAAACTCAAATCCACCTTTTCGGTAGCAACGAAAGGCTGAAATAAATCCAAAAAATAATTATTGATAAAGTTGATAAGTTCTATCCAGGTGACTTTTTCTAGTCAATATTAACATGATAAAAATTATCCGTTAATTTATCAACAACATCAACATTCTATTGATTAGTCATTCAAGTTTTCCTCAGCTTGGTTTGGGGTTTCTTTCCAAAACACACAGACAAACACACACATCTTCATAAATGATTAGTAGTAATCATAATCTATTGTAAATCCATAAATTTCATTTCTATAAATTGAATGTAATTAGCTGATTTACCTTTATGATAAAGTCTCGCTTAAAATCATCTAGTTCTGTAAAATAAATAAATTAATTAATTAATAAAACATATCACAAAAAACTTTAAAATTCAATTAATGAAATAAAAGTAAAATGCATAGTTATGAACATTACAATGTTGACCATTTACCTAACACATTCATATAGATGCAGTTTTATTACTTGATATACTCAGTTATATTTGTATGTATTCTAGGTATTTTGATATTACAGTGCAAATAAAAAAGGATAAAAATATATACAAACGATATACATAACATCTTTTTCTTGGCTAAATACTGTAACATTTAATTACCATACATCTTTTGAAGAGATTGTCGGTTCAGTTCTTTGAGTTCATATTCTTCTTCCTTTGTAGGTCCACTGGACTAAAAATTTAAGTAAAAATAATGAAAAATAAAGCAAAAATAGAAAATATTGGTAGTTTCTGTAACTCTCACTTTTTACGGGATGCTAAGCATTCCTAATTTCCTGTAGATATCATAGTATTGCTATCCGTTTATACTGACCAATGAACTTGAATATTAAGACACAGTGATACAGTTAGAACTAATCACTTTTGAACTCTGGGTTTTTAAAGGAAAAAAATTCTATAGATGGTGCGTATGAGCGAGGGTGTGTGTTTGTAAATTGTATACTTACTGGACAAATATTCTGTGCTCTCCTTCTGAGATCTAAAAGGAGTGAAATAAAACAAGTCATCAACTACCAAATATACAGGTAGGATCATTGACAGCCAGCATTGCATATTTTTTCATTTATCTATTTATTTATTCATTTTTTGGTGATTTTTCAGATGCACATTATTGACTTACATATTTACTATTGATTACTTATGGCGATGGTCCTTTAGTTTACTTCACTTTCATATCATATGTATTTATTAAGTCTTTTTTTTTAACACTGGTTCTTATACTTATATAATCATAGCAGCCAAATCATAAAAAATAAAATTGTAATGGATACCTATAATACAACTAGTCTAAATTAAGGATACATGTACTTTTGAATAAAGGGTTTTGATTTCAATATACATTTTAACTTCATGACATCTTCTACACACTTTTCAGATTAGCTGTTAAAACATTTTCTGTGCAGTTCTTCAACTTACTTCGCCTTGACTGTTTTAAATCCTCCTCTGCCGCCATCAATTTTGCTATTTCATTATCAATGTGAACGTTGGGCTGTAATGAAATAAAAATCTGTTAAACATATGTAGGCTGTGAATTCTATAGAATAGAGTGAAACTGGTAAATCAAAATAAAGAATTCAATGCAGAGGGTCTTTGATTTCGACACTCAACTGGAACATTTTTGTCTGATTTATCTTTCACCATAACATCACTTACTCATCAAATCCTACTTGTGTATTAAAATACAAGTAAAAAGATATATCTTAATATATACAAAGTATGCATGCTATTTTCTTCCTTTCTCTTTCTTTCTTTTAACGGTAGCACTACTTCATTCCATGATCTTACCTTGAGAGTATTTATCTCTCTTCTGTAGCCATCATACACTAGATAAAACAAAATATAAAATGATACTGAAACACGAAAATAAGTGAAAGATTGCTGAGACATGAGATATAAAAGATATACAGGCATCTAAGTATTAAAAGTCGGAACATCAAATGATTTATGAAAATCTTTTCTGAAAATATTTCCTGTAAAAATTGGAAGTAAGGTGTTGATATAACTTACAACAATCACCAAGTTTTCGGGAGATCTCCTTTAACTCTTTCTTCACTTCTGGAGTAGGGACATATTTCTGTAGTTAAAACGGGACATAGATTAAGTCGTGGGACATCGAATAAAAGTATTTTCATATTATCGAACTGTATATGATTGTTATTACGATCATACGGTTTATCTTCAATTTAGGCAAAAGTAAAAAAAAATCTATATATATTTACCCGCATGTAATCGTAATCATATTCACTCCTCACCACCTTGACGGTATCTGGAATCGGAAAAGGGATTTATACAAACAAAAGTTCATCTGTATAATGTACAGATGCTTCCTTAATGGAAAGCATTTAAGAGTCACCCATTACAACTTCTTCACCAACAATCTGTAGCGAATTCATTTCATTAAAGATTATATATCGTTATGTCGTCAATACGTGTAGATACATTAATAGAAAAACTACTTACCATCCGCAAAGGACATGATACTTGGAACTCCTAACTTATACTGTGAAGTATCCATAAAGATTTACGAAAGAACGCATGTTTTCTTATGCTGACACAACTTCGTATCTAAGCGCCGCGATAACTCACGTGACATAGAACAATATAGTCACGTGATTGATAAAATCACGTGAGGGGCGAATTCGATTCCGACACAATATTTTTTTCTAGTTGTTATGTTTAGAATAAGATTGTTAGAATATTTCTAAATGTGTGCACATTTAAACTGACTCAAAGAAATGACTTTTAAATTAAGCTTTTTTGAATCCCTATATCCCGATCTGTGTGTGTGTGTGTGTGTGTATACGTTGATATGTCATCCAAATGAGACTATAACTTGATGATTTATGACTTACCAAAGGTTAGTTGAAAAATCTGCTTGTTGAACAAACGGAGCATGATTAACAACGTCGATTTATTTGCCAGGCCACAATTTTAAGGATTGCATGAAAGAAAATGCCTTGAGGAAACCTGAAGTCCACACTCGTGTTTTTTTTGTTCTTTTTGTTTGTTTGTTTTGTTTTCTAACATTCATTTGAAAGTTGAAAGTGAATGTTGAATGACGTCTTCATATTTCTATATATCTGGTCAGAGGCGTAGCAATTATGTATGCTTGTATGCTTAAACATACACTCGAATTCCATTGAGATATATTTGCCCTACTTTTTTTAACCTTACTGCGCCCCTAGACCCCCTTAACCGGGGCTTCGCCCTTGGATCCTCTCTTGAAAGCATACACTCTTAAAAATGTTTTGCTACGCCACTGCTGGTATCTTAAATTCCTTAGAATAGCTGGACAATGATACGTATATCAGTACCAGAGAGAGTTAAAGAATTATAGACTTTCGTTGCAACTTGCAGAATTCAGCAGAGTGTGGAATTCGGTCCTGTACTAGTATCGTGGTATGTATAGACTGTACTGGCTGAGGGTATACTACATAAGTTCACTGTCGTATGTCTATGTTTGAATTGTACTGTGTCGGCTGTTTTTTGTTTTATGACAAGACATTTATTGTTATATATTTCAACTTGAATATCAACAGCTAAAGTAGTTTTTGAAAGTTTCTCCAGATCTTCAGTTTATTTCATAGCGTATCCATTTACGTGTTCGGTTTTAAGATCAACCAATAAAACTTCATATGGACAGGAAAGTGACCGGTTTATTTGTCTTATGGGCGATTCCAATATCATCTTTGATATTGTAGGCCGTGCGATATCATGTGATATTGTTTGAACAGCTTGATCAAAATGCTGCGACCGTCAAGCAGATTGCCATACTCACTGATATCCAATTCAGATTGGTGTCAACAGAGACATATATAACACATGTACGTCTCTTGTGTCAGCAAAGATTTGTTGTTATACACAATATTTATTTTATATGCAGCATCGCTAACTTAGATTATCCAACCAATGTTGTTTTCCTATTGTTTAAACCACGCCCCAAAATAGGCTTCTCCTGTCAATTAAACTGGTGTGATACCGTATACCGTATCATGAGCCGACATCCACTCAATACTCGTAAGAGATTTTAATGGACGTTGAGCATGCGTGAGATTGTAAATTTTCTTTCCAAAATCGTATCGTCCGTTTGCTCAAAAATTCCAAAGTTTGAACGAAAAGGCAGAGTTCAATACTCATCGAAAAAAGCAAACAATGTTATGGCGAAGACAGAATAGAAGCAGTTTTTAAATAATCGCTTTAATATCCTTCTTACGACGGAAAAAAAAATGTTATTATGGTTTGTAAGTAATTAGATTAAAGCAGGTACAGTTCAAGATATAAGGACCTTGTATGAGTGATATCGTGTAATTATACTGAACTTGTTTCACAAGACTTTTCCCCCTTCAATATTCAACACGTCCACACTATTTTGTTGTATGGGGGTGTACATGTACATATGTCTTACGACTCAAACCTCACTTTAGTAGAACTAATGTTACTTGTACTGACTATACCCAGCAGCGCTTACATACAACAAAGACATCAACATTCTATTCATATCAAAGTATATGGATTTTTTTTAAAAATTTTCATTTAGTTTTGGTATGAAGATATCTGTCACAGAAAAAGAAAGAAACCGCGCGACTTTGCTGATAAAAAATATAATCTTCATTCCCGTTGAATGTCGGAACCCATTGCTTTGTCTTGAATTTGTTTACATTGATGTTGAAATGTGCGATTTCTTTGTCAGAGATAATCCGTCTCTTCTGAAAATAACTGCAGTGTTGTCGGATTGACACAATTTATGCATCGCAATTTAAAATGGAGATGATACATGTATACAGAAGTCTTGTTCACACAAGGATCAATGGGAGGTATATTGTCTAATAATTGTTATATTTTTAATAGAGTGGAACAAATGTATACAAATTAACCAAAGCCTTCCTAAGCCAGTTTGTTTGTTTGTTTTAAATTACATCGTATGTAGAACAATTAAAATAAACCAATTGATAGCAAAGTCAGTTGAATTGAAAAAATTGCATAAATCTGAAATTAAAATCGATTCATGAATAAAGCACATGGACTATAACAAGAATGATCGTTTTGAAATATCATGGCATTACATTTTACTTGTGTTTGTTTCTATCATGTACGTTTTTAATCCCGCAATCAGTGACGATGGCATCTTACAACAAGGACAAAAGTCTTGTGAAATAAATTTCCATATCAATATATAGTTGTAGTCGGAAATTATCTCCCTTGAAATTGGAGCTCTTCCTGTCGATATTGCAAGTTATCGACCTCGATTTTTCGGAGAAATTGTTTTTATTTTCAAGGCCACTTCTCAGAATCTCTATTACAAACTGGATGTTTTTCTTTGAATATTTGGTCATTGTTTAATTACGTAATCTTCTTGCAATATAACGAAAATCGTCCGTACTGACAGCAATGTAAGGTACTAGGGTACCCAACTTATCAATAGGAAATACCACACCGTCCTGCTTATTCTATAAAAAACATGTTGATCTTCGGAACCAATCGTCTATTACAAATAGGATAACGTCATTGAGACCTTGACGCCCTTGACCAATGAAAAATCGGATATAAAAAGACAGGAGTTCCGCCGTTTTTTAAAGGATTTCCCGGCTATTTTTCGAAACGGTGTTGACGCAATTTTCTACCTGAGTATTCTGCACTGCGCCTGAAATTTATACTTCTCAGCTTAAGTACAAAGACGTGATAAAAGACCATTAAACCATTAATTTTTGCAATCAAAATTTATTTGAAAAAATAACGTGCTGCTTTGCACTGATAACAAAAACAATAATAATAATAAATGAAAAATAGGAATAAAATATAACAGAAAAAGGTGATTACATGTTTAAAGCAATTATAAAATTACATACATGTATAAACCAAGATCCAAGTGAGATAAACAAATCTATGCATGCATTTGCATGTTAAACTTCAACAAAAACTTCATTTCAGTACATGTATTTAATGCAGTCATATATTTCACTTTCATATTAATTGAATGCCTTTTTTTTATATCTGCAGGTATATCATTTTTACATCAACAAATAACTGGCAGTTACACAACCTCAATACAATATAGATTGGATTTTACTTAAGAAAGCATGCTGCATTTTTAATAGATACACACAGAAAACTACTTGGCACATGACTTTGAGTTATGGTCTGCACCATGACAGTTTGAACATTTCCTACTTTCTTTTGTTCTTTTCCCTTTTCCCTCGAGAAATAAGAGCCGATTTTGTTTCTCTAATACTTGCTTCAATGCAGGTAATCCTCTATGACATGATCCCCTAAAAAACTGCTTTGTTATATTATCATTGAGTTTTTCTAGTCCTTGTTGGCTAAATCTTACCATGGTTCCATGAGTTCTAATGATCTCTCCCACATGATATCTCAACAAGTGTATGTATGGGGTAATATCTCTTGTTTGATACACCTGTATATAAAGAGCACACCAGCTTTTTGCCTTCGCTTCAATCTCATCAGGGTCTGGATTTTCAGATTTTATTAACTCATTTATGTCTTTAAAGCCATCCCATAATTCCTGAATCTCTGCTGCTCTGTCCTTATCCTCAAACAAATCTGATGCATGAAAATGGTCAAACAAAACACGCTTCTCTGGACCTGTAAGGTCTCTGTAGTCCAATTTCTTTGTTTCTTGATTTACACCTATCTCAAAATGTATTCCAAGTTGCTGTAGCACATTTTCTAATTTCAAAACATGCTTCAGTTTGTCTTTCTTCTCGTACACACTTGTAAATGTGGAGTTCTCATTTATGTTATCTAAGCATCTTAAGTCAGAAAGGAGAAGATTGAACAATTTGTCAGATATTCTCAAATACATATGCAAATGGTCTATAACAACACGATTTGGAGTAATGCTTGGAAAAAGTGGCTTATTCTTCACAGAAAAAAAACCCTTGTTGACCTTCTTTCTCTTTAGTGATGAAGATTGTACCAATTCCTCACACTTATACTCAAGTCTAGCTCCTTTGGATGGATCAACCATAGACCAATTTCTACTGAGGTCTAGTTTTTCAGCCTTGTTACATGTGCAGTAAATGCAAAAATGCTGACAAGCTACTGAAGATATTCCAGTAGCAAGCAGAAGAAATTTATAATCCCCGCCTAAAACTATTTCAATATCAAAACTTCTATGTTGTACTTTTAGACTATTGCCATCTAGTTCCTCAACTTCCTTAACCAAATCTGATAAACCCAATACTAGATCACTATATTTTTCTGCAGTTCGTATGACAGCCAAAGGGTAGTTTCCCCGGACTGATGCACTCCTTTCTTCATTTACAATAGTAAAAGTAACATTAACAACATGAATCCTTTTCCCTATATTTGTACCATCCCCTGATATTTTAATTTTTACCTTACCTGCAGGGGCAAAGTTCTTGTCAGTTTTAATCTTATGTGAAAGTACGTCATGTAAATGTTTTTTCAAACTCTGCTGAACACCAAGTCCATCTGGAGTTTGGATGATATCAAATTTTGAATTTAAATCTGAAAGAACTTTATTAACAGCGTTAA